GGCCAGTGAGGACAGCGGCCTCCTGACGGGACAGGCCTGGCTCTGGGAGGCCTGTTGTGAGGACAGACCAAAGGCCAGGCCAGTGAGGCTCCATCCTGCGAGCAGGTGGGCTGTCAGGGACCCCACGCTAAACGAGAGCACGGACGCAGGTCACGGCCCAGCTCTGCTAACGGCCGCCACGCAGGGAGCCGCCCTGCGCCAGGCCCAGGTTGATTCTCAAGGGACTTGTCCCATGGGGTGTGCGCGAAGTGTGCCCTCCCCGTCGGGAGCCCAGCCTGTCGTCTGCTCGGGTCTTTAATGGTGCCAGTTTCTGAAGGGGGCCAGAACCGGGGCTTCCATTTTCACTTGTCTTTTTGGATGGTGCTTTTTGTTCAAATCTGAGATTTCTTTGCCTTGTCCTAATCCCGAAGACTTCCTGGCTTTCTAGGCGGGTGCTTGACGGCTCGAGCCACGCCGCCAGCCCTGAATTGCACTTGGGTTTGTAAATCTGCCCGGAGGGACCGCCACCGCTCTGCCGTCCCCTCCCAGAGCTGCTGAAGCAACGCCTGAGGGTTTTCACACAGTGACGGCCGTCACTGCGCCTCCCTCGGCACTTTGGAAGCGGTGGCCCTTGCTTCAACCGCTCGGGTGACAAAGGCACACCAGCGTGTCACCGCCGCCAGAGCCTCGACTCTGGCTCCGAGTGCAGGCTGTGTCTGTCGCCCATGGCCGCTGGTTCTGGGGCTGGACACCCTGACTCCATGAAACTCCCATGCAGGTTACTCGGTCAACCTTGATCTCTGCGTCTCGTACGACGTGGAGCTGGACACGGAGCCCGGCCAGCGTGAGGCTTGTTTGAAAGAGTTTAAGCAAAGCCTTGGCGGGCAGGTGGTGCCGTCCACCCGGGTGCATTTTATTCCTGTCCCCTGGTCCCCTGGGCTACAGCTCAGCATGCTTTCCAAAGCCAGTTGCCTGACTCGGTGGGCGTTACTGTCCCCGTGTCCTAGAGGAGCCCGACACCAGGGTCCCCTAGGCCTGTCTGCGTCTGCGGGTTTCTTCCTGAGATGGCGTAGGAATTACGGCTGTCGTGCTCCTGCTGAAATGCGCTCTTCACTCCTCTCCTGGCATTTTGTGACCTCCGTCCGGCCGCTCTGTGGGGATGGGGTTGGGTTTCGTGTCGAGCTTGTTTCCTGCCGCCTCGCTGCACGGTCCTAGAGCTGGACTCTGTAGGGTTTTCTCCTTCCCAGTCTCCAGGCTTCGTTTTTCACCTTGGGCCTCCATCCCGGGCTGAGCACAGGAGCAAGGCAGCACCCTTGACCCCTGACCCCCGACCCCGCAAGGTCACAGCCAGCCTCTTCCGTGGAACCTGGCGTCAGCCGTGGGTCATTCGCGGCTTTGCGTCAGGCCGGCGAAGCTGCCCGGTTCCTTGCTCGCCGGGTCTCCTGGGTCTTTCCGGGATCATCTCGGCGTCCTGACTTCTTGGATCTCACTGGCCTAGCGCGCCACAAATAAAAGCCACCGTCCCAGGCGTGGCATCCTTTTTGTCCAGCGCTGGACACGGTTTCCAGTGCCTGAGGAGGACTGTCACATCTGAGTCCCTGGAGACGCTGGTCAGTGCCGAGCGGCCTCTCTCGTTTTCTGGAAGTCATGGTAGATTGACTCTTAGATGGTTGGCAGGGTTCTACGGTGAGACGATCGGGACGGGGACGTCCTTTCAAACGGGTTTTTAATCACAAGGTCTTTAGTGGCCACAGGGCTACCCAGACCTTCCGCTGTCCCGGCTGAGTTTGGTGGCTTGCGGTGTTCGAGGCTCGTGCATTGTGGGTTTGTGAGCGGAAGGTTTGCGTTCCCCTGTGGTGGCGGGGCTGCCGTTTTGTGCCATCTCTACAGTCGTCCCTTGCGGGCGGGTGGTGTTGGGGTGGAGCCGCCCTGGGTTTCCGCAGTCCTCTCGTGTCCTGTCCCCTCTTGCCGCTGTCGTTCTTTCCCCGCGTCTGGGGTGGGGCCTGATCCCGAGATGGGCGGTGACCCCAGGTCCCTCCCCTAGACGCCCACGACTGTCTCTCACTCATCTGCCTGTCCGTGCGTCTCACTCCCCGGTCTGTCTGTCCTCCCCTGGCGTGTTCAGAGCCGAGCTGTCACTCCCTCCCTCTGGGGGCTTTGCTGCCATTTTCTCTCCTGACTGCTGTCCCCTCTCCACTGAGGTTTCTCTGCCTCAGCCCCGATGCCATCCACGTCTTCAAAACAGTGGGGGACGCCTTGCTTCCCTGACCACAGAGCCCCGTCACTCACAGCCCGTGTTGAAAGGCCCCGGTGTCGTGTAGGACCTGTGCCCGGCGTTTCACCCTTGCGGGGATCAGGTTTGGCTCCATGCGCTGGGTTTAATCTCCCCCAAGCGTCTCCATTTACGGAACTTTCCAGTGAGTGCCCTCGGCAGGTGACCCTGGCACTGGACAGGCCCCGTGACAGGTGACTGCACAGAGCTTGTCACCAACTCCTGTCATCGAGTTGCACAGCACACCCTGTGCTGTGACAGCCGGGCCTCCGCCTCCCAGGCCCAGCCTCAGGCCTCGGCCACAGACCCGGCTCTGCTGTCACAGGTGCGAGGCGGAGGCCCACGGCCAGGTGGCTCTGGCCGAGCACAGTGGCCACCAGGCAGCAAGGGGCTTCATTAAGCCTGGGTTGTGTTTGTGTCCCCCGGGCGCCCGCCAGCCACAAGGCCGCTCGTTCCTCCCGAGCTCCGAGGGGAGAGGAAGCCGGAGTCGGCTATGCCGCGGCCATAACCGTTTCCAGCCACGGCCACCGTGTCTTACTGGGCAATTTGCTTTTTAAAAATCGTGCTCTAATTTTCAGCGAGCAGCCTAATTATGGTGATTTACAAGGCACCTGGGGACCGGGTGGCATTTGAACACAGCCGAGGCTGAACGTTGATCGGCAGGACGTAGCGCAATCTGCTTGCTCTGATAAGCCCTGGCTGCTGCCTTGCCAAGGGGGACGGCACGCCGGGGAAACTGAGTCAGGAGAGGAGGCAGTGGAGGGCCCAGGGCAGGGGCTGGCACTTCGCAGAGCCACCTTTGGGGGGCTGAGAAGAGGGGCGCACCGGCCACTCCTGCCCTCCCTGGGCACGATGCCCTCTGTCCCCAGGATGCCTGGGAGGACGGGCCAGGCCAGGCCCATGCCGCCCACACGGGGAGCCATGGCCCATGGGTCACAGTGGACTTTCCGGGGTCTCCTGGCCCCTGCCCGTGTGTGACAAGCCTCTGTCCACAGTGCTGAGGGCCGGGTCAGGAAACTGGACCTGAGAACCCGGGACCTGGAAGGCCGGCTGGGCACCCGGGAGCCCCTGGAGTCTTGGGGGACCCTTGTGGCCCCCTCTGACATTTCGGGGAGAACGACCCGTGTCCCGAGCTCAAGGCAGAAATGAGGATTTTCTCCGGGTTTGGAATGGTTTCTGCTGACCCTGCGGCCGGGGCGGCGAGTGAGAAAACGGGAGAGCGCGGGTGACGAGCCGATGGCGGCAGCTGGGGAGCCGCCTGTGCACCAGAGCCACGCACGGAGCACTGGGGTCTCCAGGGACAGCCACGGCCGGGGCTCCCCGAGTCCCCCCTTCTGTGGTGGGGGGCAGCCAGTCACCGTGGTCACCGGCACATTCACAGTTTGAGCTGACCCCGCGAGGAGACCCCGTCCCCTGGGCAGGCGCCCGACCGCTTGAGCCCTTTTTTGCTTTTAGGTATTTCTCAGGTAGGGTCTGGCGTTGTCCCCCAGGCCTAGCCTGACGTGATCTTCCTGCCACACAGCTGGGATGACAGGCGGTGGCGCTACACTTGTTATTGAGATGGGGTCTCGAGGCCCAGGCTGGCCTTGAAGTGCAGCCCTGGTGGTCTCTGCTTCCTGCCTAGCTGGGATTACAGGCGTGGCCTACTGCACTGTGCCACGATTCTCGGTGACACCGTTCTCAACTGTTTGCGTGACATTCCCCTGTTCTTTGCACCTTCTGGGTCACTGCTGCATCTCCCGTGGCTCACCAGCTCTCAGTGGGGCCGTGTGTGTCTGTGAGCGACGGCTCTGCTGAGTCGTCCTCGGTCAGACCGTGGTTCTGGAGAAAGCTCGGGTGCATTTCTGTTCCCACCTGGCCACTGTGCAGTGGTCTTTGCAGGTGGCCTTTACTCAGCCTGGGCCAGTGAGGCCTGGGCAGAGGCAGGTGAGGCTTCTGGGCAGAGATGGCGGGTGGAGATGGAGGGCGGTGGGCACTGCTGCCCTGCACCTTGGGCCCCCTCAGGCCTCTGTCCACGCCACCCAGCTCCCCCACTCGTTCCCAAAGGGACCCTGATGAGCTGCGGTCCTGGCAGCTTCCTGGGCACAGGAGGACAGACCCGCCACGCCCTCCCCAGGTGTGAGACATTTAGGGAGGAAGCAACAGAAGGGGTCAGTGTGGGCCCCAAAGTCCCCAGCCAGAGCCAAACCTCTGTGGATCACCCTGGGCTGCCTGCCCCCCACTTCCCAGCCCCAGACTGTCCCCCTCCATCCACGGGCGGCTGGTGCGCAGCACCCTGGCTGCCCAGAGTGGGAAACGAGGCTGAGAGGCCCTGTTCACTGAAGCCCACGGAGCCCGGCAGCCCAGATGATGTCCAGGTTGTGCCCTGGGAGGAGTGGGCACTCAGGCCCCAGCAGGAAGAGGCAGGGGCCAGCCACAGCCAGGAGGGACAGCCAGGTGGCCCCCACGGGGCCGGTGCTTCTTCCATTCTGGGCTGGGATGGGCTCCTGGGCTCCCACAGCTTTCTGGGCACAACAGCCCCTTCCAGCCCAGGCAGAGGACGGGGAGAAGTGACCAAGAGGTGGCGGATCTCGGTCTCCCAGCTCCAGAGGCCGTGTCTTGCCCCCTCTGGCCCAGGCTGCACATGCCCAGGGGAGCTGTCCAGGACAGCAGCGGGGCCGTCCTTCCCTGTCGCCGGGGGCACATGGGAGGGAGGGCACAGGACCTCCAGCTGGCCATTGCTGACCGCCCTCCTGTCTTTTCCGCGCAGGCCACAGGCCCCTCGGGCTCCAAGATGCAGCTGCTGGAGACGGAGTTCTCACGCTCGGTGCCCGAGCTCATCGAGCTGCACCTGCTGCAGCAGGACAGCATCCCGGCCTTCCTCAGCTCCCTGACGCTCGAGCTCTTCAGCCGCCAGACCACAGCCTAGCCACGGCCACCGCCTCGCTGTGCTCCTCCATCCGTCCCCGTCTCCCCCTTCGTCCTGCTCTGGGAGCTGCCTCCCCGCCCTGCCCCGAGGCATGGCCACCCAGCTGTCCCCACCTGTCCTGGGGCAGTGGGTGGGGGGGTGGCACTGTGGACAGGAGTCTGAGGTCGTCACCCTATGAAATAAAATTTCCTGTCCAGCGCTTTCTGCCTGGCTCTGTGTCCACCGCCCACGCCGTCAGCTCCCTGCCGTGATGCCCACACCCGACCCAGGCCCTGCCACCTTCCCCTGGACCCTGGGATGGCTGTGCTCAAGTCCAGCAGAGATGGGGGGGTGGACTGGAGTGCACAGCACTCAAGGGACACTGCCTGCCTTGTGTCCCTCAGAACCTGGGTGGCACGAGAGGCCCCAGGCAGGCCTGGCTGTGGCAAGGTGGACGGGGTCAGCGTAGACAAGAGCACGGCTCTGCTACAACTGCTGTGTGACCTCGGACAGGCGGCTGACCCTCTCTGGGCCTTTTCACTAGCCGGGCAGGGCAGCCGGAACCTAGCGTGTCCGAGGCCCCACCTGTCCTCACCCTGCCCACCCCTCCATCCTGGGCACTGGTGACATTCCCACTGTGGCCTCGGGCTGGGTCACACCGTCCCCATGGCTCCGGGATGTCCCTTTAGCGTGGGTCCTGGGCAGCGGGGTCATTCAGGAGCACAGGGTCTAGGGCGAGGGGTGACTTCCCAGAAGACCCAGCTAGCAGGGACAAAGGAGCGAGGGCCACACCTGGCAGACAGCACCGGGGACCCGGGGCTGTGACCCCACAGAGCCCAGCCCTGCCCCGCCACCCCGGGGATGGCGCCTCTGTTAAGGGGCCGGGGGCCGGGGAAGAGCTCAGGACATCCAGTGACTCGAGCGTCCTGCTGTCCCTGAGCTAGGACCGGAGCCGCCATGACGGGGGGAGAGGACTCCACGCGTGCTGGCCGAGGCTGGGCCTAGAGGGGGAGGACGGCCCTTCTGCCCCTGGCGCCCGTGGAGCCATGGGGTCGGGGCAAGGCCTGCAGTAGGTGGCTGTGTCCACCAGGCCCAGCCTGCCGCCCCCAGGCCTGTTGTAGGTGAAATCGGCCAAGGCCGGGGCCACCAGCAATTACAGCTGTGCTGAAAGTCCGGAGTGTCCGTCTGTCTGTCTGCAAGGGCCCGTGTGCACCTGTGTTCGTGTCCACGCTTGTCAAGCCCCTGTAAACTGACCTGCAGGAGCCCTGGGCTGGTGTCCCCTGTTCCAGGCCAGTCCTGAGCCGCAGGTGGCCATGGGACCGGCTGGCAGGATTGGGGCTGAGGCTGGAAAATGGGGAGCTGCAGCCCCTCCGCCCCCAGCACAGGGGACACTGAGACCCCAGGACTGAACTCACCAGCACGGCCTCGTGACCAAGGACCCCGCGGTCAGTGCACAGCCACAGGCCCAGCTGTGCCCCAGCCATGTGTCACCCCAAGACTCACGGCCCAAGGCCAGGTCTTCTGACTGGGCCACCGGCCCACCGTGACCACCCCATCCCCACTGCCACAGAGCTGGGTGGACCCTCAGTGGCGGAATGGCCAGAGTCCAGCCTCCCGTCAGCCTCCTGGCCGGGGTCTCCCACCGTCCTGCCTCCGTCCTCCCTCCCAGCCAGAGGTCCCTGGGCCGAGGGGCTCGTCCCCTGCCACCGGCTCCCCCTCGAGTGGACCCCCCAGGGCTGACCTCCCACCCAGCCACGGTGACAGACATCTGTCCCCAGACGTGGGTTTGCTGGGCAGAGCTGGGGAGGGCAGAGCAGCTGGCCCCGTCACATGTGCCCCTCCCGGCTGATGTCACATCGTCACGTCTGCCGGGGGATGGCAATGACGCAGGAGTGCACCCAGGACCGGGCCTTGGCAGCCCTGGGCCAGAGACGGTTCCGGCCAGCTCCTTGCGGTGCCCGATGCTAAATGGCTCTTAAGCCACTAATGACTGATTTTAAGGGATTAGTGTCACCGCAATAAACTGTAATTGCCAGGACGTAACGGGATTTGCAGAGCCGTGCCACCTCCAGCTCCCCTGCCACCAGGATGGCACCGCCTGCTGGGGACCCTGGGGCGGCCAGCGCTGGGCACTGACCTCGTCACTCCCTAAGCAGCCTGGCGCGCGGCCCTCTGCCAGCGAGATCAGATCGCGAGGTTGTCCCCAGGTCCCTCTTCTGCCGGCGCGGAGGGACCAGGGACGGCTGTGTCACAACCTGTGTAAGGTGACCCCAGGTGGCACGGATGGCTCTCACCTGACCGATGGCCCCCAAGTCCCCAGCCCATGACACGCGGCCTGCAATCAAGTTCCATCTGGTCAGGAGGCCGGGCCTGGCCACAGCCACGCACGGCTCGAGCCCAGCTGCGGCCTCAGCCCCAGGGTCCTGGACGAATGGCCCAATGCGTCCTGCTTAAAATGTATGTCACCAGGCCAAGGAGGGCGGGGCCTCTGTCCTGAGCCTGGGGACAGGGGACAAAGACCACACGCGTCCTGGGCCTCAGGCGGCCATGGAACCGACTGGCTTTGGGCCCGGGGGAGTGCGGGGCGGGGGGGGGACGGCCTCGCCAGGGTCACCCAGCGAAGGCCACACCACGGTCACCTGTGCGGCGTTTTCCATCTCCTTTTCTCTCCTTATCTTTCCGCCGCGCGATCCTAACGCGTTTTTACCGTGAAAGCCGACGCCCCCCCTGCCGCCAGCGTCCGCGTGTGGCCGTGGCCTGCGCTGGACCCCACACGTGACGGTGGCTCCCCGGCGTGCCTGGTCATTAAGGTGACTGCTTTCTTCTGCGGTCTGCTTCGAAATTTGCCACGGAGCCATGGCGGATGGGTTTCTTTGGGGACATTGAGTCCACAGCCCTCGGGGAGACTCGGGGACCCCGATTCCCGCGTGAGCCAAACCACCGGCCTCCCCAGCTGGCCACTCCGCCATCCGTGTCCCTGTTATTTTGGAAAAACAAACAAAGCAGCCATGTCCCATGGGTCCACCCCACGCCCCACCGTCCCGCGAGGGACAACGGTGACTTTTCGGGACAGGCAGCCCCACGGTGTGGCTGGATTTGAGATGGGGTCTCTAAGGAGGTGATTGCAGTCAAGTGAGGTTGTGGGGTGCCCATCCCCCAATCTGACTGGGGTCCTTAGAAGACTGGGACACACAGACACGGGACATGAGGACACGGGGAGAGGGTGACGTCCACAAGCCCAGGGGAGAGGCCTCGCCAGGAACCACACCACCTCTTTCCTCGGGGGATTTGAACCCAGGACCCCACGCTTGCCGGGCAGCGCTCTACCCCCCGACCCACACCCCGGCCCTTTCTGTTTGCGCTCGTTTTCCAAATGGGATCTCGAGCCTCCGACCGCAATCCTCCAACCTCTGCCTCCCGGGTCTCGGGGGCCACGCTGCGCCCCACCCTGCCTCCATCTGCGGCTTCGGCCTCCAGCGCGTGAATTTACCTATGGTGGCCATACTGCAAACCCTTCTCGCTTGTGGATCGGGGCCGTCTGGAAAAACTCTCGCCAGGCCGGGCGTGGAGGTGCACGCCTGTAATCCCAGCGCTCGCGAGGCCGGGCCAGGCAGAGCAGGGTTCCAGGACAGCCCGGGCTCAAGATGAGAGGAGGAAACAATGCGCCATAATCCCTAGCGCAGACCCGTGCCGTTTCCCGTTTTCGCCAGCGGCTCCGCCTCTCCCAGCGCGGCTGTGACTTCTCAGTGAGATGGGGTCTCACGGACTCCTCGCCCGGCTGACTTGAACCTCGGTCCTCCTGAGTAGCTGGGATTACAGGCGTGCGCACCGGCGCCCGGCACTTGGAAATGTTTTTTTCTTTAGTTTTAATTTTTAGTAGCCACATTCAAAAGAGAGGCGTTGGAGGTAAATCGTGGCAGTGTCTCGGTGACAGCACATTTGTGACGAGTGACCTCTTGTCAGCCGATGGACACAAAGCTGCGTTTGCTCGTGGAACGCGGTCTTTTCCGCAGGTCGGACGCGCCACCTCGGGGTCTTGGTGGCTCTGAATTGTCCCTCAGCGAGGACGGAGGGGACTTTGCGGCCACACGCCGTCCACGGGGCAACTGGTCCATTTGACCAAGAAGAAAACCTGACCCGGGAGAAGCTCCATCCCCACCGGACGCCTGCTGACAGCCAGGCCTGGCGTCCTCCCGGGTTGAGGGACAGAGAAGCAGTGACAGTGGTCACCGTGTCCAGGATGGCAGAGCCCAGCGCTGTGGCCTTGGTTTCCCAGGCCAGGTGTCCCTGGTGTCCCCAGCCCAACATCTCGGTCACTGGCTTGTCCCTGACCTTGAGGTGGTGTGGACAAGTGTCCTCCACCCTGCGTTGTCACATCTGGGAAGTGACTCACAGCTGTCACCGCAACCAACCCGACACCGGTGACACCAGTGACACTGGACAGACGGATTTCTTTTTAATATAAATTGGAAATTTGGTCACAGTGGCCATTCACGGTGACCACGGTCCTCGAGGGACACATGCAGCCTGTGACAATTAACTCAGGGTCATTGGCATCGGATGACATCTTAACCCCTTTGGTGGCCGCGGGCAGGGGTCAGAAGTCTAATGCAGAGCCTGGGGGAGCTGGGGACACTCGGCCAGGCCTGTGGCCACCATGCAGGGGACAACGACCCCCGACCTTCAAGAGCCACACAGCTGGTGACGTCGCTGCGGTCACTGCACACGGGAAGCGTGCGGCAGACTCAGGAGAAAGCGAAAATCGCGGGGGACCCGAGTGTCGCTGTGGGCTCAGGAACGCCGGCTTCCTGCGTGTCCCGCGTGCGTGCGCGTGCCGCGCGTGTGCGCCCTGTGTCACGTGTGCCCGAGGCTGGCCTCACGCCATCGTCCGGGCAGCAGGGATTACAGGCGTGCGGATGGCGCCCGGCGCCGTGCCTCTGAGGAGCAGCTCCAGCGTCGCGGGAGGCTTGTGACTTTAATTAAGTGGGATGATCATCGAGTGACTCTGCGTCGGTATCTGATGGGCTCGTTTCCTTCTCCAGCTCCATCAGCGCGTGGGTTTGTGAGATTAGTGAGCACCGCACGGGGACGCCACGGGCTCCCAGCCGAGAATCCAAAACAAGTCGGTCCAAGCAGCTGTCCTCCTGGGACTCCCACCGTCCACGGTGGCCATGTGTCCGTCTGTCCCCGTCCACCCGGAGCTGA